TGGTGAACATAAACAATGACTTAATAAGCCTTCTTGTAAAACGTTATATTTTTTAAATATATATAATCTTATTGCAATTTTAACTAGTTTTATTTTTATAACTTATGTGTTGGAAGTTTATTTATATACTGCCTTTGCGCTAACATTGAGCTTGTTTAAGATTTAAGAAAAAAAGCTTCCAATGCAGCTCCTTGATGAAGTGAATGTATGATAGTACTTCCTATATAGTGAGAAAAAAATATGAACTCTACTTATCTCAACTAGTGACAGATCCAAAAAATACCTTTTTTTAAATTTATTCTTCATTCTTCTCTTCTTTCTTAAAAAAATTCAAAAGCATAAATTAACACCTTACAATATATCATAAAAGCATAAAAAGTTTGTATATTAATTTATTTACTGGAACCAAATATGTGACTCATTACAAAAGATCTGCTTTCATTTTCATCACTACCACCAAATGTTTTCCTTTGTTGTTTTCCTTGTTTCCCAGATGATGTGTCATCAGATTTTCGCTTCACTCCTTTTTTCTGTGCCAAGATCTCCTCATCTGTTAACCTCTGCCGTACCCCGTCTGCAATTGCTCTCTTCTCAAAAACTTCTCCCTTTTTCTCTTTACGTTTCTTGATCTCACTTAAGGTCTTTGACTTTTCATAACTGTTTACATAAAAGTTTGTCTGTTTTTTCACCTGAGAAATGTCTGCCCTGATTCTGCTTTCATATGTTGCCCTTTTTAATTCCCTGTCTGCATTTACATCAGTCCAAGTAAATTTAGGCAAATACTTTATATTCCATATGCAATTAAACCAAGGATTCCTTTTTTTGCCACCAACTTGTGTATTGTTCAAAGCCAGAGCCACATATTTGGCTACACTCTTCTTTGAGAATTCTACCCATCCTTCAGTAAACAGCAGGCCTTTCTTATAAGAGTAGCTTTTTTCTGAGGAAAAAAAACAAACTTTTTATGTTATTCAGCCACTATCGTAAACTTTTCAACAAACTTTGCACAAATAAAATAAAAATATTTCTATTATATACTTTTAGATATAAACCTAAATGAAAACAAAGTGCCTAAAGAGGAGGGGGGGGGGGAAAGAAAGAAATCCCTAAGATGAATGAAAACTTTGTCTTGCTGAATCTCATTATTCTTATGCAAGACTACAAAGAAATATAGATCTACTTATCTAATAAAAAATAAGTAATTTTAAAATTATATTTTGTTTTCAATTTTTTAATGAATGAAAATGGATTTTCAAGAATAGTTTCACAGAAGCTGAACAGCCCAATCAATTTAAAAAGTGTATCTTCCTCAAAAATGATTCTCAAACATGCTTTATGATAGAACTCTGAGAAGTCTATACTATATATTAATAAATTGATAGCCTAGCCCTAATACTACTAATAGTTTAAATTATATTTACAGATGTCAGAGAATAGACTTCCAAAAATAAGTGTGTTAGTATTGTATAATCTCAGGTTTAGTTTTAAAGTAAAAAATTACAATTAGGGCCTTGGTAGAACAAATTAGAATTCTGTAAAGGGTTAGCAAGCCACAATAGTAGTAGATATACCACATTATGTTAACTTACAGTAGGCCTAATCTAACACTCCTTATTTTTTAGATGATTCCATGATTCTAGTTAAGTGAAATAATTTAATAAAAACAAACAATCTGGTCTAGACTAGATCTAGAGATCTTGATCCTCAGATCCACCAAGCCTGGCACTGGAATTTAAGTAAAGCGGGAGTATTCTTATATATAACAGAAACAGAAATGGCACTTCCAGTGCAATCAGGCTATAAGTATAAACATGTTTTTTATTACATAGGCCTAATTTTTTTAAATATTTAAAAAAGATTTGAGCACCAAATTAAAACAGACAATTTGTGTATAAATTGGAAAATATTAGTACTTTAGTACTTTATAAAGGAAACAATGATTAATTTTAAAAAGTTAATTAAACCTCTAATTAAGTCACATTTTATGTCATAGTGCATTGTCATCGAGTCTTGACCTAAGTGAAAAGTTTTAAATTTAAAGAAATTGTTCAGATAGAAGTGATTTTTTAAAATAAATACTTTTGTCCTTTGCATCACAAAAAATCACTCAAAATTTAAGAGAAGATATTATATTTATTTATAAAATTAAAAAAAAAAAACTGAAATGGTAAATTGAAAATAATAAATTTAAGTAAAAGATTCTTTATATTTATATATAAGGCCTATATGAAATTTTGTCTACCTAACTGAAACTCAAGCTATCATGTTCATACTGAAATATTGTCTAAAGAACTACTTATACTAGACATGCACTGCAGAATTAATTTATGGGTAAATAGCAAGACAAAATTTGCCAAAGATTTCTTGTTTCATACTTTTGGTTTTTTTTTTTTTTGGGATGGGCAAGAAAACAATTTCTAAACTAAACAAAGAGATCATCGTGAGTGTTTTAAATATTAAAAAATTGTTTCTATGGTCGTCTGCTCAAGTTTTCTTGGCAGCAGGAGAAAAACTCCATCTTTGTCGAGGGGTCACTGTGAGTTCAGGTTAGTTTTGATAATAGATAAGATAGCATATGTTGTAGCATAAACATTGCTATCAAAATTATTAATGACGTCACTTTAGCTTTTCCCTGGCCTAAACTAAGTAGGCTAATATGACAATATTGAAAAATAAGCTTTTCAGACTCAGGCTCAGGGAGTTGTAAAACTAAAACATCTGATTTTTTGCATGTTACCTAACTTTAATAGCCTAACTACTACTAACTACTAGTAGGCCCTAACTACTAACTAACAATATTATTTTTTAATTAATAATTATTTAGGCCCTAGCCCTAGCCAGGCCTATTATTTACTAAATTAATATATATATAAATTTAGAATATTTTAGATAATTTAGAAAGATTCAGCCGCAAAAATAAAATCATCAGTAAATACTAAATACTAAAATAGTATAGTAATAGTAAAGTATAGGCTGTTTGATGAGAATTACAGAATGATTTTTTTATTAAAAATGTATCAATAATAGCTAGAACACTAGTAAACTAAGCTAATTTAGCATATTTTAACTTTCTGTGCAAAGTCATTATTACTGAAAAAAATTCCAAAGTCAGGTCAGCCTGTGGCACCCTCCACTGAACGTGACAGAAGGAAAAAAAAACTTCACCCGTGACCTTCATTAAAACAGAATTTGCTTTTGTTTTATTTTTATTTTTGGTAAACATGTGCTTAATCTTACCCAATAAGTGATAAAAATTTGAAAATTAATTTTAATTACTGTTGTAAAGTGAGATAAACAGCTTAATAAACACATGCTTTCTTGAGGGGGTGTGGCCCGGGTGTGGCACATCGCAATTATAACTTTATATTTCTGTGTTTTATGACTATATTTGTTCACAATTAGCATGCTATGTTTTTTAAATTGATAAAAGGTAAGTATACCAAGTTACAAAATCCGCAATCTAACTAATAATTCATACTTTCAATTTAAAAAATAATAAAAACGATCATCAACGAAGAAAGCGTAAACATTCTATTTTTAGGTATGACATAAAAAACAGTCATAAATCTAGCCAAATGATTGGATTCTTGCGCGGCACACATTTTCCCGCGCCTCGTTTTCACCAAACAAGAATATAATAAAATGGCATTATTGAGGGGTGATCACTTACACCCTCAAATGTATTGTTTTCACCCTAATTTCATTAAACAATTCAATTTTTATTTGATAGTAAAGATGTTATAAAAATTGTAAAAAATAAAAAAGTTATTGTCGAGCGCACCTGCTTTAGTTAATTCGACTTGAAACGCAAGCTAAATAAGCGTGACTTTCTCTCGACGGCCTCGTTAAATACAAACAAAGAAATTAGGCCAAAAGTAGATCCGACAATTCTTAAACAACAGACTTAAATAGAAACGGATAGTTCCGATGTCTAAAATTAACGATGGCTTCGTAATCATTAGTTTTATCCCTCTACCCATTAGTGAAAGCGAAACTGGTCGCCATTTTTGGTAAGCGCATGAGCCGTGAGATGGCTTCAAAACAACAAACCCGGAAGCTGTGAATTCGAACGGCCTAGTAAAGTAATAGTAATAGTAATAGATAGAATAGATAGATCTAGATTCTACTCCGCGTATCCTGTTTGTTTGAGCCGTATGCCTTAGCCTTTTTGAATGGCTTTGACTTTGAATGATTATTATGTCATTAGTCATTATTTAATATTTAACTTATGAAATATTGATTGAAGATGAAGACGAAAAAATTAAAAAAAAAAACGTTAAAACGTCTTACCCACGGGTTGAAAAAATGTTCTGTTAACTTCACCAAACTCTCCAAATACATTTCTTAACTTTTGAACGCTCATATATTCTGGAACTGTGCTTAAATATATTATTCCGGGTTTATCTTTATTATCTTTTTGTTTATTGGCTTTTGAATTACTCGAAGAAGTAGCATGTTCCTCAAATTTTTCGTCCATATTTGTTATTGTGCGTGCTATTAATACTTTCCAATGCTAAAGATTTTGTAAAGGGGAGTTGTATTCTTACTTGCCGTTTTGGCATGTTTGGAATTCATTTTCACTAACTATATTTATTTGGCTAAATTTGAACTTTATTGTTAAAAATATTATTTGCGCTTCGAAAATAAAAATTGAAAAATTTATATTTGAATTTAGCACTTATTAATAACCATCTTAGTTAGAAAAAACGGTTCATAACATATGACTTTTATGACTCAAGCGTAATTAAAAATAGTTAAAGTTTTATGACAAGTACGACTGATAGACTGTATTTATAGATTTTATTTATTTAATATCTATAATAATTTAATAAATTTGACACGACTTTCTGTTGTCTTTTACTAAACTTAAAAGCTAAGTTTTAATTTTCCTTCAGGCTCGCTGCAAAACTCTGGCATACAATTTATTAACGGAAATGCGAAAATGATAAAAATAAATAACTTCCTGTACCTTTTATTTAGTCTAGATTTCTAGATCTAGTTACTAGACTCTAGATCTAGAATCTAGATATATTCTATAATAACAGTTATTGTCTAGTCTGTTATAAAATTGTAGAATCTGTTTTTTTCTTAGAAGTCAATCAGTTTTAGTGGATGATTTCTGCCTATACTTTACTCACAATGTGGCATCGATGAAAACACTCAGCTAAAACAAAATGAGTAAGACAAGATTAGAAGATTTGATTCATTAGAAATTAGATTTAGAAGTTAGAAGAAGAAAAAAAAGAGAGTGAAGAGACTAGAGAGAGACCATTGATTTATATATTAGGCCCTAGAGCCCTAGAGTAACTCTGCCTGGCCAGACTATGCGCCTCGAAACGAACAACTCTGTAACTCTCACTTTGAATACTAATTGCACTGGTATTTGAATATTTTATACAGAAACATTGTAATTGGTAGCAAATATGTCCATTTATAAGTCCATTTATATCAAACTTTGATCCATTGAATTACCCACAGTGGGATATGAGCAATTAAAAGCAACCCGTCATGTAGGCGGCCATTTTTATGTTGCCGGGACCAGCAAAGCCTCCTCCCGACTTAGCGTCTTTTTAAAACAATGTTTATTTTTTTTTCAGAAAAAATGAACTGAAATTGAATGGGATAGGCTACAGAACATATAATGTTTATAGAAAATGCTATTTTCTTTACTAAATACATTTTTTTGGGGGTAGTCGTAAGGAGGATAAAAATTTACGTGTTTTGCCTGGAAATGATACCCATAGTAAACCATAACACAAGCATTTTATTGGGAAGAGTTATCTCCCCTATTATTTTTTTCCATTGTTATAAATTATATTATTTTTGGCATTTAAAATCAAATACACACTGAAACACAAAACTAAACACATAACATATTAATAGTACAAGATTATTTATTCAACTGAGCTGAAAAAAACAGCAAAAATATGACTTAGTCGGATGGAGGAAAGACCAGTCGTTTGGAGGCAAAACCGGGAAAATTGTAGTCGGGTCCAGGACGACTGGGTCGTCTGTTTCGGGGGCATATATTTAAAAGTTATAGAGCGAATGGGAAAAAAGGGAATTCATATTTTTATTCTTCTTTGGATGGAGAGTATTTCTATGCTTTGGTTTTCATTCTATGTTAAATAGTAACGAAATTAGGTGTCTCGAACTGGAAAGGAGTCTCCGTTTCGGGCTAAGGGTGTCCGGGGCTGGTAATGTTACTCTATATAATACTATATATTATTATATAATATATATTAGGCCCATATAATGGCATATAATTATATAATGAAATAATAGATTCTAGATATTTTTTTTATGTTTATTTTATTTTTGAGAAGATGAGCCGAGAGAGTGAGATATACACAGAGATCTAGATCTAGTAACAGATTGAATCTCTTATATCTCTAAGTAAAAAATATCTTAGACTTAGTAAATTAAAAATTTTGGTGGTAGGAGAGAATAAGCTAAGCTTAGATATAGATTTCTAGTTCTACTTATTAATTTGAAAGAGTATACATTTTGGACAGTGGTAGCAAAATTATGAGATTAGTTCAGGCCGAAGCCCTTAATGCCTTAAATATTTTGGCTTAAATCTTGATCAAAATGTTCCTTTGTAGATGTCATTTGTACTAAAGTTTTTTTTCTCCCATTACAACAATTTTGCTCTTGAACAGCTTCCATCGATTAGTCTTCTTTCTTTATATTGTAGGGCTTACTTTATTTCTTTAACATTATTAAAAAAATGTTTGTTACAGGTTTCAGTAAGGTGTATACATTATTTATAACAGAGATTTTGGTACTGGTCTCTTTTATAGCACCTGCATCACTAACAAGTAAGTTTATACTTTGTAGTTGTATTGTTTTGACTAGTAAAGTGGTCATAAAATTGTCAATGTTTTTTAACTGATCATAGTTAGCCTATAAGTAAACATCATAGTAAAAAAAATTACTATTCCTCTATATTAGTATTTGTATTATGTAATTCAGTGATTTAATTTTTTATCTGTTTCTGGATTGTGTTTTTTTATCAAATTGTTGAAAGAAGTGATCAAAATAAAAAAAATTCTGCATGAATTATACAAAGAAATGTAATGGATTGCCTTGATTTGGTCTCTGGTTGTCTAAATAATTCTGTGGACTTTTTTCTATTTTCTTGGGTGAATTTTTTCATGAAATAAAAGCTAGATCTTTTGAGGTAATTTATGAAAACCTAATTTAATAAATATGATGATTTAATTTTTAGACATCAGGTTGTTGTTTTTTGACTTAACTTCTTTATTTGCCAAGCTTTTTATGTACAAGGATTAGATTACATTACCAAATTATATTCCCTAGCATGTGAAAGTCACTACCTTATGTTGACTTCAAATACTTATGGCACACTGACAAGCCCTGATTATCCAAAGCTTTATTCTCCCAACTTTTGTACACAATGGACTTTGTTTGGTCTTCCCGGCATGAAAGTTGCAATAAGGTGAGTTTTTAAATTGCACATTAAGGAATTAAGAATATCTGTGCTAGTATAGAAAATATAATAAAGATGCTCACATTGCATCGTACAGGGTTCGTGCGGCCTCCTGAAATTCCAGGAGGTCCTGGAAAACTCCTGGAATCTTAAAAAAACGTAAAAACCTCCTGGAATTCTCCTGGAATTTAAAAAAATATAAAAACCTCCTGGAATTCTCCTGAAATTTTAAAAATTCTCATGAAATCTCATGAAATTTCAAACCCGCGGCGCAAAACCCGACCGAAATTATTTGATTTTGTTCCGCCAATAATTGAATAGTAGTTTTTAAATGGGACGAAAGTAAAAATTAACGCATCGGCCCTCGTCCGACTGAATCGCACTGCCGTGATCTACACATCATGTGGCACAGCCGAGTGTGTGGTCACGTGACGCTAGGCGATTGACCCGATTGGATGATACTATAAACAATTTCTAAAGATAGATAGGCCTACATGTGTTCCCGTGTTTGACTTGTCGGCTATTGCCGGGGCTATTGGATTTTTAAAGTAGACAGGCATGTTTCATAACTTTGTCTTAAACTATTGAAACGGCAAAAAAAAAGTTGTAGTAGTATTTACGGCTCAGGACTAATCGTCAAATTTAATCTTCTTTAGAAATTAACGCGGATAGCTGCGACCCGATTAAACAATGCTGATTCGCGTAACGTTTCATTATTTTATTTTATACATTAATTTTTCGTAAAAATGGCTATAGAAAATAAATTAAATTTTTCCAGTGGCTCTTTTTTTCGGTTGACTAAAAATTGTTAATACGCTTAATACTAGCTTGCCAAATAGACAAAATGGGCTGGGGTGGGTGGGGTAAGACACTGACCATCCTACACGGTTACACCCAACGTAACACCCATTGCCTCACCCCGCCCCCACTACTTCGTGACGCGACAAGCCGACGATTGTCGCCTTTGATGTTGTATAACACCCGTACGGTACACGAGCAGCCCGTGGTGGTTTCATACCCCACCTCTCTTCCCCCTTCACTTTGTGGAGTTGATGTGTTACTAATCCTCGGGCATAGATCAAGAAATCTTGCAAGACTTTTGTCTCTGAAATTACATAATATTCGTCTGACATGTTCATCGGGTCGGCCGACTAGCCTAGCATCATTGGATTTGGCATCCAAAAATCAATAAAATATCACGAAATGATATCAATTGGTGAAGTCTGCTTGTATTTATACCTCTTTTATAGTAAAAAAAACTCTTTAAAATTTGGTCCATACCCTCCCAGTATTTAATTTATCCTCTTTCAGGGTCTATCCCAGTTCTCTGAAAAAACTGCTGTTTTTTAATGACAAAAAAAAAATCATAACTTTTTTGTTTATGGTCAGATTCTGAAATTTCAAATTGGTATGTAGTCAGATTTAGCCTCTATCCTAATATGTAACTATTATATTGTTTTACTTTTACTGAAATTAAATTTTTGCATTGGCTTAGCTAATTAAATGTATTATTTATTAAGTACGCTTTTTTAAAATGTACAAATTGGGTTTCTTTTTTGTTTTTAAAATCTCCTTGAATTTTTTTTTAAACTCCTGGAAAAGTCCTGGAAAACTCCTGGAATTTTATTTGAACTTTTGAGCATGAACCCTGATCGTAAATTTAAATATGTTTTTTTAAAAGCTAACAATATTAGAAACCTGAATAGTCCCCCAACCCAGGTATATTATAATACAGTGCCAAATTTTTGTGTCCCCACAAAAAGTGAACACTGAAATTGTCATGTTTTATTCTTGATTTTAATGTTAGGATCTTAGTATTTTTTTTTCTTACTTGTGGATTTTTCTTCTTAATGTAGGATTTGGGATCTAGACCTTCCAACATATCATGACTTCTGTGACTATGACTCACTCTTAATTAGTGCAGGCTCAGTGTTTGAAAAACGATTATGTGGTGATAAAGTCGGAAAAATATTTTCACCTTATTTAATTGTACTTGACCAGCAAGCTTCACTAAACATAATTTTAAACAGTACTATATACGGACCTAAAGGGAGAGGTTTCAATATATCATATGATACTAGTAAGTTCATGTTCTTAAAATAATTCAGCATTGTTCATTGTTCTTTCTGTTTTGAATTTTATTTCCATTTGTAGTCTGCAAATTAAATTATTTTTATAATCAATATATCATTTTAGCCTACATCTTAACTGTTTTTGCCCCTTTATTTATTTTTTCAAAATTATATTTTATTTTAGAAAAAATAGCTCTATAATTGATTGTTGCCTATAAATGTATGATTCTTTTCAATCGTTCTTGTGCATTTTAAAATCTCTTTAAAATTTTATTTTTTGCTAGGTAGCTCTGGGTATTCTGAGGCTGTTAAAGAGCAGTCTGTCACTTCCACTCACACACCTATTCCTATTCCATGGATGAATGAAATAGATAACGAAAAAACTTGTCTATATATTCAAGAGGGAAATTCAGGACTAATTACCCTCTCTCCAACTATTAAGTACGCTCTTTCAAAGCGACCTTATTGCTCCTGGTATATATTTAACAATGTAGATGCTACATACAAAATACAAATTCTTACGCATTCTCTAACTGATGGGGACTCTCTGAAGGTGTATGAAGGCCGAGATGAATATTCCAGATGTTTGGGCAGTTGTAATGTAGTCTATTGTAATGCACTGTTGTATACACCAAAAAGTGAATTTTTTATTAAATTGAAAGTTAAGAACTCAGCAATCCCAAGGAATTTTACTCTCAAGTATTCAACATGTAAGTAGTTAACTCTTGTTTTTAACACTTCATTTTGTGCAGGGTAGTTATTTATATTTTGTATTATTTCTTTTAAGCTTTTTCTTTGTGAAAGAAAAATTAGACCCTAATCTTGTTTTACAAACAGTACACATTCTTTTTAAATAAACTGTTCAAAAATGTTCAACAAATAACGAAAGCCAAAGAACACTTCCCAAGAAATTACAAGTAAATGTCAACACTACGCAACACAGCTTGACATGACCAGACCCCCACAATACAAAATGTAATATTCCAATACAAACTTCCTCTTTGATATGCCAGATACTTTTTATACAAATGAGTTAAGATTACCATAAATTACCCTGTCAACCCAAATTTCTCTACTGGAATTCCTCCAGGTCACATCCACATGTGATTTTTTGGTCTGCCATTTTGCCATGGGAATTCCAGGAGAGGCAAAACCTCTTTTGTTGTGTTGATGCAGTTGGCTGTTACACTTAAAGCCCCAGTTACCCTAGAGACTAATGTACTTTTATAAATTTGTCGTATCAGTTAAAAGCTGTTTTTATTAAAAAAAAAAAATTTCTCCTCAGTATCAGCTAATAGTATCAATATGGGACAAACATCGTCAACTCTGATGCCTTACTGGTCCAAATCTGAGTCATCTCTACCAGAACCCTTGCTCCCTTCAGGTTATTGTAGTTTTACTATAAAATCTCAGTCAGGGGAGTTCTCAAGCAGTGATTCCATCTATAGCGCTTTACAGAACTCTGACGGTTGTTTTTGGCATTTGCATGTCGAAAACTTCAATGACAAACTTTATACCTATCAAATTGTATTTGAGGAATTTCGTTTATATTCTCATGATGTTATTTATGTTTATGATGGTTCAAGTGCATCTTCAAGACTTTTATACCAACCATTTTATGGTGGAAAAAATGCTAGAACTGAGATGTTGTCTACTGGAAGTAATGTTTTAATCAAATATGTCTCCTCTTTGAGTCGTTGGGCCAACTTCACTATTAAGTATTCAATTTTGAGTAAGTAGCTGTAAAGTGTTTCATTATTATAAAAAAAAAAAAAATTAACCCTTATATTAATAAAGAGAGCTTAATGTTATATTAGAGAACTTATGAACTTTTTGTATTTCCTTGAGCTTGATGCTCATTACTTTTTATCATTGATTATCAGACAGTGCTATCTCAGTCAAAATAAATTTCTCAGTGTAATTAATATATTACTGTCACACATATTTCACTAAGCATGAGGTGAATCATCTTTTTATTTATAGATAATTGATTGTGTTTCAAATATCTATCATCGCAATGGTATCTGTTTCTTGTTAATAGCCTATGTTGGTGATTTCAATAACCTTGTATTTTATCATGAAACTTTTGCAATAAATAAAATATTTTTAGACTTGTGCTAGGTCAGTAACTCTGGATACTGCTGTTTAAAAAATAAATAGCCTGGGATTAAATCCACAAGCTCACGTTTGTCTGCCTATATGGTTACAGGCAAACCTGTTTTTAAACATTTTTTTTAATGTCATGCTTGTTTTGTATTCTCAGTATGCAATGTGTTTATTTTAAAGTTAATGTGATTTACTTACATAATACTAAAAATATCCTACTTGATATCCTAGTTGATTTAGCAAGATGATTGTTTAACCATGTGCCACCCAGAACCAGTACATAGAGAATGTGATTGAGATCAACTTAAATCTTTCCACAGTAAATTGTTTACCTGGTTACCAGCCATGTGGATTTAATGAGCTTGCATGCTACCCTGTCAGTAACAGATGTGATGGGGTTTGGCATTGTCCACTTCATGGAGGAGATGAAAGAGGCTGTTATGGTAAGTTGTTGCTTTATTTAGAAAATGTGGAGCCTAAACATCTTTCAATTAAATGTTTGACATATTAAAAAATATTTAACATTTATTTGTTTGTCTTCAAGGGTTCTTATTAAAGTAGTTCCTCTTTTCAAAATATTTGATAACATCACAAAGATGTTGTTTTAAGTAGCCTACCTACTAGTTATTCGTATTTGTTTTCAGACTGTGATGTAGATCAATTTAGCTGCAACACCACTTCACATTTCTGCTACAGAGAAATAGATCGATGCAATGGTAAAGGAACATGTGCTAACTACATTGATGAAACCGGCTGCAGTAAGCACCCATTACATTTTTCTGTTTGATATTGATGCTGCGGCTGTAGAAATTGTATTTCCCTGCACATCTTCACACCTTACAGATTTGGTTAATGTCACATTTATTTGTAAACTATATCAGCAGAGTTTTTAGTAACACAGAATACAAAATCTAATTTATACCTAGAGTGGATAATTTAAAGTTGCATGAATTTTTTTTAATCTTGTGAGAAATAAGGGTTTTTTGAAAAGCTGAAAAAATTTTAAAACCAGTTTTTTTCATTACCTCTGTGTTTCTTATCCACCCAGCACCACAACAGTGTAGCTCAGAAAAAGGATTATTTCTGTGTGACAATGGGAGATGTATCTATGAGAAGTGGAGATGTGACAGGACTAGCGATTGCACAGATAATAGTGATGAAGAAGATTGCCCTACATGTAAGCATTTGTACAATGTGATGAGTAACTTTATTCAAGTCAAATTATTTAAATTTATTTAAATTATTAACCCTCTTAAGACGTAGCTTTTTTCGAGAGCCGGTGCTAAGAAGACGGAGCCTACTTTCAAGTTTTGCACTTGTATCACAAAAATTTTTTGAAAAAAATAAACTAATTATTTTACATGCATAAAAATATATATTATTTATTAGGAAATTGAATGAGCTAATATGATTTTTATAAATCTAATAAAAATTCAACATATATATATGTGAGCTTTCTGATTTGCATAATTTATGCATGAAAAAAATTTGACGGCACTAAATTACAGTAAATTTGTATAAAAATACTTTTTTCTCTCTCTGTAATGCTAATCTAAATAATACACAAACATCTATTCAATAATCTGAACTAATTTACTGATTATTATTTCTACATTAGAATTTCTAAGTATATTTTTAGTATATTTTGATGACTGGACTGTTGGACATAAGAAAATTTACGATAGGACTCACGGTACTAAAAAAATCGATAAAAAAAAAAAAAATGAGGCAAACTTTCAATGGAAGTCGCCATTGAAGTGCTAGATATGTACTATAACAGTTAGAAGCAATCTGATTGGCTGATTTGATACTAGAAAGCCAATCGTGTGGCTTCTACTATCACGGCTGAGACCCGGCCGATAGATCAGCCGGTCGTCTTTTTGGCTATAAAACCAGCGGCCGATAGATCGGCCCGGGCGTCTCAAGAGGGTTAAAATGAAAATTTATATTTCATTACCCCTAAAAGCTATTAATTATTTTAGAGTCAGAACCTGAGCTCAACTTTTCAGGTCTTGAGATAGGAGAGTGATCTTACATATAGATATTTTTGCATTACTCACATTTTTATTTTATAACTTGAATAGCATGGGAAAAGTTTAAGAAAAATACTTTTAAAAAGGTTTTTACATCATGTTTATAAAAAATACATTAGAAACAAAAAAAGTTCTTCAACCCATTTTCTATGTTGTCCTCACAATGGCATCTTTTGAATGTATTTTCAGTGTCCTCACCTCGGGTGATTGTTGCTGCTGTTGTTGGCTCCTTGGTGTGCTCTCTCCTTCTAGTTGTTGCATTAGGCTGTGTATGTAAAGTTTACAACATACGAATGCACAATCTCCGTGCAGGCACTCGCCACGAGACGCCCCTAACCCGTCAGTTAGCTGAAATGTTTCACCACCGCGCCCCACCGCCCCCATACCATGAGGCCATGTTGACCTCTCGTCCATATGATGAAGCATATTTAGAGCTGTTGAGCCAGGATGAAAGCCCATCCTTGTTGATTGATTTAAACAACGTGGAACAGAACAATCTCAATGCTGTGCCCCAGCGGTCGCCCAGAGAACATGGCGGCAGAAGGTGCAGGCATGGCAGACGACACAGAGAAGTTAACCAAATTATTGGCTCTTCTTACAGAGAGAGATCTGAGCCTCAAGGACTTATAGAAATTGGAAGCTTACCACTGCTAACAGAAGCAATAGATGCACTTCCTTTGTTGGAGGAGGCCAATGCTTACATCAGTCTTTCAGAGCCCCCGCCATATTTTGAGTCTGGCACCTCACCGCTTGTTGAAGGCCGGATGGCTGAGTCGTCCAGTGACTCCGACGACGAGTCCAGTGAGGAAGAAAACTGGCAACCCAGTTTTGTCAGCCCTCTAGAAAGTGGGGATACACAACATAGTACAGGGTGTGAGGCGGTGGTCCAGGTGGGTACATCGGCTCCAGTACCAGCCACACAGGTGAGAACAGGGGGTGAAGAGTTGAGTGACGAGGGCGGGAAAGATATGGAAACAACCAGCACAAGTTTTTCTGTGGATTCTTCCAGTGACTTAGCCCGTGAGGGACAGGATGAGGATAAGAAAATTGAAGACTCTGTGATTCATGAGGACTCTGACAGTGATTGCATCCTCAATGAAGAGTGTGGTCCGGATGAGGATGACACTGATTCAGACTCGGCCTGTCTTTTAAGACACACCTAGTTGGCACCCACCTTAAGTTCTACAGAGGACATGTCACCTGGCCTCCTAGAATCTCAACTTTGATTTTACATTGTCATATTTTGTGATATAACTTTTTTTTTTCCTGTTATACCAGTATCAATTTGGTCACTTTTTAGAAATACTGCTCAAGAACCAGTTCATTTTTTTCTGCCATATCATTAATCCTCTTATTTGTAAATCTGTGTTAATTTATTTTTACATTGAAGTGTAACTTACAGGAAAAAATTAATGTAAATTAAATATTGTAGTACTTTTATCTGAAAAATAATGTATAAATAGCTCAAGTAAAAGATATATAATTTGCTAACTATAACTTGATCCATAAGATTAGCCAAATAATAGCACCAGCCTGTATCATATTTTTATACAGAACTATTTCTGTCATAATTATGTTAAATTTAAATCAGAGCCACAAAGCTTAGGCCACAAACTTATTCAAGAGCTTGTTATAAAGGTGTTTTAATGACTAAGACATGTTGATATTTTGTCATACCTTGTCAATTTAGAATGACCAAAGAAATTTCAACTGTTAATTTTTAAAATAGCTATTATTTTCTGTACATTCTTACATTGTTTATGTTTTTTATGTAAAAAAAAATTGTTCAGACACTGCAATCAATGCACAGCTTTTATTTTACTTGTATAGCTTTTTGTTAGTTTTTTTTTTTAATTTTCTGATTATCTTTTCCCTTTGTTGCCCAAGACACATGGGGCGAACACAGAAAGATCCCTTCACTTTTGCCGGTCTCCTGCAATTTTCCTGGCAGTCCCCCAAGACAGGCCTGTATCTGCCAGCTTCCTCCTCGCTGTGTGCCTCCATGTCTCCCTTGGCCTTTTTTGTCTGATGCAGGCTTTTAATCTAATTCTATTTTAAATTTCTTTAAGGTTTACAAATTAAGTTCAGTTTTTCATTTCTAATTTATTTTGAGCATTATTTATCTTTTTTCTCTTTGATTTAATACAGCTATACTTCATACAGTGTACAGCATAGTAGATTAGTTTGTTATAAAATTTAAGTGTTTTGCTTTTTTTTTTTTTAATTTTGAAAAAGATGACTAAAGCATAATTATCGTTTGCAAATAAAGAGATTATTTATCATTTCTTTGATTTCTCAGACAGATATTTTAAGTGTTAAATACTAAACATATATTTAGACAAATTTATTTATAATAAAAAGACACTGTTAAACAGTTTTATATTTATAAAACCTTTATAATTCTTGTAATGATATTTAGCCAGTATAAATAGACAGTCTTTCAATTCATTGATCAAACAATTAGTAATTTTAAAACTTGTAGTTGTAGTCATATTTATTCAATTGCATGAATAGAGTGACCACTACTAGAGAAGTGAGTGGTTTCCCTTGATTTAATATTTTATGTATCACAACATTATAATTTTCTTATAATTTCAAACATGAGAAAAGTGTTGACATAATATTAATAATAAACTTATTTTTATTATGTGAGTTATAGGTCAGTAATTAGCGCAGATTAGAAGCTTAAATATATGCTTTTCTTGAAGAAATTTTTTTTTATTATTATTCAGCTCTGAAACAAGCAATTGTAGATTATCAGTTTAGTGCAAAATACTTATATACACATATATTAAATATTGAGATTCTTCCTTTACATTATCAGTATGTCACTGAAATTCCCCCCCCCCCCCCCCACCCCCCACCCCTACCCCCTCACTTTTTCACCACACATCATACAAAATAAATTTTACCCCCCATGACCCAATTTTGCATCATAGGTCCCGCGAAAATAAGTGTCAACAGTGCAAATTAACTGCATTTTTTATCATTTTTGTTGCAAAAGTTTACATGGTATGTCATATTTCTGTACCACCCCCACTCCTTCCTGTGTCACACATTGTCACATGCTCCTCCCCATAAGTGTGTGACATGATTTATTGACAATCCCAATGTCTAGATAAACTTAAAGACCTAATCAAATCATTTGATGCAACATGTTTGTTGTACTAGATAACAGAATATACTTAATTCTTATAACTCATTCAGATATAATCATGTAGTATATTCTCATTTTAAAAAATAAATTCCAGTATTTATGACAAAAATATTCTTAAATTGAAACAGGATTGTTAGAAAAAAAATGTCATTTATTTATCTCATTGATTGTTTAGCCAAAATGTCTGGACTTGTTTTCAATACTACCCTTAAATTTTAGTTAAAGTCTTATATAATGTTCATCACCTTTACTCTGTTCAAGCACCAAAGTTATTAGGGCTTCCAGGCAATCATTTACTTCTGTTTGTTACATTTCTCTTTTCTACTGTTACCTCACCCTGCTCTGGCTAATATTCTATACATTTACATAGAACTCTAAATGTCTTTCTCTTTTTTTTTTCTTTGGACACCTTAAAGAACTAATTACAAGGTCAAGTATGTTTTATTCTTTAAAAAAATAACTAATAAAAAGTTTTTTTAAAACTACATTTTTGTCTTAAAACAATTTAATTTGAGATTACTTTGTTTTTTTTTATATAAATAGATTTTTTTTTAAAACGCTGTCTTTCATAGATTAGATTTAATAAGTTATTTTTGAGGTATTATTACCTAATTATTTTTTTTAAAAATATTTTTAAAATTAATTTCTGCACTTAATGCAGCATATTGCCCTGTTAAACTTTTTCAATTTGAGATCTTTTTCATGACTGTTTTAAGTAATTTACTACCTCTCTAAAAAAAACCTACTTGCAAAGACTTATATTAGTATAGAAGAAAATATTTTTATTTAGTATCTGATTTTGTCAGTGGACTTTCTTACCACAATTACAAATCCCACATTTTAAAAGAATATTTAGAGCTTGATGGGTGGATGAAAAAAAATTTCAATTTTACAATTATTTTTAAATAATTATTTAAATAATTAACATTTTTGATTGCTTGTATTAATATAATTTAAAATTTAGAAAAATTCACATTTTAAAATTACTTAGACTCCTATTAAATCCTTTGTTTAAAAAAAAATCAATTTTTCAAATCTGCATTTTTTATTCTGTGGAGATTTTTAAAGTTGCCTAATGTTGTTTGTAGTGGTTGATAACTCTTGTAACATTGTTTATCAGTTGTGTGTATGCAATTGTAAGTCATCCAAATGTTTTACTTTTCACCCAATTATGACTTCCACAAAGAAAACACATTACACCTTCCCTCCCCTCACATCTACTTTGGATGAATGAAAAATCCTATTTAAGTTAAATTTACCTTGTGTATGTCAAGTCATGTGGACATTACACAGGGAAGATCCTTACAGCCCATGTAATACATTCACAGTTTCACTGCTGACACCTGTCACTCAACATTCTTCTATGGTCATCTATCTCCTTAATGTAGAGCATTTAATCTTCCTGCCCCGTATCCTTTAGGTCACTCAATATTCTTCAATTGTCATCTTTCTTTAATGCACAATTCAAACTTCCTGTCCCTTATTTTATAGGTCACTCAACATTCTTCTACCATCCTCTTTCTCCTTTATGTACAGCATTCAATCTTCCTTTCCTTTATTTTATATTATCTAGCTTTAAGTTTTACTTTGAAACTACTTTTTAATTATTTCAAACAAGCTCTCTTGTTTATTCCAATGCCTTGTTTTAAACAATATGCATGAACTGGAAAAGAATTTATTCTTAAATTACTCTAGCTCTTTGTTAGAGATGTTGTTTTTAATTAGTCATTGTTGATTTCAATATTACCTTATCAATGTTTAACATTGTATCGGTCACTTTATATTATTCACACATATTAGGGTTATTTATCTAGTGACTCTTGATGGAGTTCAAATTTTGGTTATTTTACAAAATTTCATGTGATTTTTTTGTAGTTTTGAGATATTTGTAGATTTTTTTTTTTTGTAAATTGTAAATAAACTTCACTTGTAGGTAGATCTACCTTACTAGTTTGCAGTTTATTTATACTTCAGTTTTTGCACATTTACAATTATCCAGGTTTTTGTGCACCTTGAAATGTGAAATCATGTCACTTAGCAAGTTTAGGTACTTATATTATAATCATGCTTTACAATTTAACAAACTAAATCAGTTTTGGATTTTCTACTCTAAAAGAATGGCACTTCAGTTAAATTAGTGTTGAAAAATCTAGACCCTCCCCACAAGTTTTCAATTTTTTAAAAAGCTCTTTCATTATTGATCGAATCAAATCTAATACTTGTGGCTTTAACAGCTGTGTAGTTTCACATTTTGGAGGGAAAAGAATATTGTTTTATATTTGTTTTTACTTGGGCTTTCGAATTATTACTGCAGTATATAGTTTGTACTCCATTATATAAATTGTTATAAATATTTATTTCTTTTGTTAAGTAAATTACATTTTGATTACACAAAAATGATTTAATTCTATAATTTTCTATATAACCAAAAAACATGGACTAAATTTTGTACAGTTTATATTACCACTTTTATTTCATTTGCTTCTAGAAATCCCTCTTATGTATATGAAATCATTTTGATAAAATAATAGATTCCATTTTAATAGTTTGCCTACATTTTATGTTATTCTAAAAAAAATTATAAGTTACAATTTACATGCTATTTATCTACATATGCACAAATACATATTTCCTTTTTTTTTATTTGACATAGAAATCACTAATTTAATGAAGAATAAATTTATAATAAAGAAACATTGAAATTTAATGTAATGATTATTATAGGCTAATTCAAACAATTTATAAAAACCTCTTATCAGAACATTTATTAGAAGAATTGGAAGAACTGCATAATCAAGTCTTTGTTTTCAAATTCTGTTTGTTTTAATAGAATCTATTTTTGTAATAAAATATTAAACTGATGTTCATTTAGTCTGTATTTTTAAATTTCTGTTTTATGTTATAAGGAAAATATCGACACTTGTGTCTGTTATATTCTAAGAAAAATGTTGACCTTGTGTCTGTTGTAAAGAAAGATGTTGATCCCTATGTCTGTTGTAAAGAAAGATGTTGATCCCTGTGTCTGTTGTAAAGAAAGATGTTGATCCCTGTGTCTGTTGTAAAGAAAGATGTTGATCCCTGTGTCTGTTGTAAAGAAAGATGTTGATCCCTGTGTCTGTTGTAAAGAAAGATGTTGACACTTGTGTCTGTTGTATTTTAAGAAAAATATGTTGAATGTAGTGTGTGTTGTATTCTAAGAAAAAATGGCGGGCACTTTGTGTTGTAATAAAAGTATTGGTTTTTATGTGTTTTACAATCTAAGACACGTCCATTTGATCAAATTTTTAAAAAAAGTTTCAGTTTGTAAGATTTGATTATTAGTTTACCCTAAAATGACGTTACAAAAGCCAACAACCCCCCTCCCCTTCCCTTAAAATTGCATTTGAATTTTATTTTTAAGACATCGATTATTATTTTTTTAAATATTGACTGAGCTCGGTCAATATAGGGAATTTTAATCGATTTATATTGCAATTTATTAAAAAAAACAGTTTTCAAAAACACGAAATAACGACTAAAATTCAATTTCAAATATCGCTTTTTAAAATGCAAAATTACCCCCCCCCTTTTTTCATCATACAACATCACTAATTCACGGACCCCTCCATCTCCCCTACGAGTGTGACGTCATTTAAAGACGACCCCCTCAGTGTTAAAGTAGCCAACTTATATTTGCCCGAGTGAAAATCTTGGAGAAGAATATAAACCCAGTGGCCGCATTTCAAGGCCATCCCATTGGATCAAAATATACAAACTTTTGCACACCAAGCCGTCGACTGTTCGGGAAAACCCCCAAGTGGTGCTATTTGTGTACAATTTGAACAGAGCATAGAACCTTGAAACGTAGTCTAAATATTTATTTGATTTAAAATATAAATCAGTTTACAGTTCAGCATTACGGTAAGGCATTTAAATGAAAATGAATATCATTAGCAGTGCCTGAGCATTAGGCACCATCGGGAGCGTTGTATATGGCTATTATTAGATGTACAGGCATGTTTTATCAAATTCCATTTTTGCTGGTATAACCTAACTAACCCCTGTCCTAAAGCCTAAAAGATGCATGGAAGAAACTCAGGTCTTAGAAATGCTAAACACTTAAAGCAAAAATGTTGAAATCCTTTTTTACAGCGGCATTCCCTCGCCGTTTATTTCACAAGTTTTTATGGAGCTAAACGTGAACGAAATCGACTTGAAGAAAATGGACACCGTGGGGCCTTGTTTTCACCAAACGTTGACGGCGGCGCTGGAAGATCTCACGGAGCAGCTGCAGCAGCTGGTGGCTGTGTCAGAGACGGAGCGAGGAACGGCAGACGATGGGGAGGCGTTGAAGAGTGGTATATGGGAGGTAAGACACAAGTGTGGGTGAGATCCAACCGCCGCTTAACAAATTGTTTCGTGGTTTGTAGGTTAGGATGGGGTTAGGTTTGGTAGGAATATTATACTTGGGTTAATATAGATAAGTATCCATAAATAAAGTCACGCTCCATGCGGATGAGGGAGGTTCGGAGTTATGTGACGATGTAGGAGAGGAGGGTGGGGGGGGGGGTACTTGTGACTTCACACTTTTGTGTTTTAATAAGCAATGTTAGAAACTGAAATTTAGAGGTTATTTCGGGTTTAAAATAGACTGTTTTATAAGTTGTTGGAATAGAATTTAATAGAAATGATTAGCAGTGGGCCATATACTTAATTTTAACAGAGCTCAGTAAAAGTACTTATTTTTTTTTAGAAAGAATAAATGTTTAAAAAAATAAAACAGCAACAATTTTTAGTGGGTTTGCAGGTTGAGGTGTGACCTCATTTTTAGGGAGGGGGTCTGGCTTTTTGTTATGTAATATGATGTGATGTCATTAAAAGATGACCCCTAAGAATATGTATTATAGTCTTACCATTTAATTATTTGTACTAATGTACATGGTGTATTTTTCTGTATTATGGTCCATGTTTACTCCTAATTGTTTTTTTTTTCCTTGTCATATTTTCCTTTATTACGGAGGATTTTTTTTTCAATCTGCACACTTTAATATACTAATAAGCTTTCTTTTTAAAAGGTTATGGAAAGTTACAACTACACTATGCAAGGCCTGGAAAGTTTTGTTTCTGCCATCAAAACTGAGACGGCCATGTTGGATAATGAGCTAGAGAGTCTGGAGGTGAAGAAGCAAAGCATTCTTGAGGAGAGAGGTAGGAAGAGAAGCATCCAGTTGTAGCCTGGTGGGAGAAAGAGAATCAGCTAGCACTGTAGTTAGAGATCTATCACTTATGACTTAGGCTTCACACATCACCACAAAGTCTGATCCTGACCACTTCTTTGAATTTCATTCCTGAATGACACTTTAACGCGTATGTCAGCCTACTTTTTGACAGTCTATCATGATTGTTATACCAATTTAACTGTCATTTTTAGTTAATTAACAAATTCACTGCTGTTTAAATGTTAAATATAAATTTCATGTTTGTTACAACCAATGTTGCCAAGTTATTTCCCTTCTGCAAGGTATACAACTCATTTTTGGAAAAAAAATATTGGTTACAAAAAAGCAAAGTTGCTATTTTTAATTGGAAGGGATAGAGGATCGGCTTAGGAAAGGGGTGGAGTTTTAGTGACAACTGGAGGGGAGTGGGATAGCCCATAATAACATCTAACTCATCCTAGGCTACTAGGTGTTAGACAGTGTTAGTCTTTACCCTCATATCCTAAGCCTATTGACTGAAAATTTACTTGGCAAATTGAAATTTCAAAATGCATTATTGTAAGTTTTACTGTATATAATTAGTTAATGTAAGATGTCGGCCTGTATTTTTCAGATATTTTGATTGAAAAAGGTCATGAGTTGAACTGTCGACTTGGTTACAACGCTTTGGAGCGGAAGTTGGATGAAACATTTAGCAGCATAGAGAGGTACACTAATGAAGAAAGCGCCAAGTGTTTTAAAGGTGGGTCAATGTCTAACATGTAACAAGTTGTCAACTTAAAGGCACTGGCTTAAGGTTGAGTTAAGAGAGTTGTTCTCCCATATGGCGTAGAGGATGAATTGAAAGTTCATTTTAACCTGCCAATTTTATATAAACTAAAAACTTAATCCCACCTATTAAAAATGTCTTTACAATTTTTTTTAAATAAATTAAAGTATTAAAGTCAGTTAAAGTTAATCTGTTAATCAAACCCCCTGTTCTTTGTAGTTCTGTAAATCCTGCAGTGTCACAAGGTGAGGCTAGGGGTATGGTTTACACCAAATTGAAAAACAATGTTTTAACCAGTTAAAATAATAAAAAGTAAGGGAGGGGTGACACTAAACTGAAAATGCTGAATTATTGGAGGTGACATCTGACCTAGTGACACCACTGATTAAATTAAGTAGTCTACTGCATTAAACGGCTGAACTCATAAAAATTATTAAATAATGAAATGTATTTTCTTATAATACTAGCCTTACATGCATTAACTGTCTAACCTATTCTATAGTTTTATGGAATATGATTGACTTATTTTTATGAGCAATTTTTAAGTTGGTTATCACTGGTGTGTTTGTTTTTATTATAGATGAAGCTGAAGAGAAGTTAAAACAAACCAACAATTTAATTCGTATAGCAAATATCAGAGCCTGCCAACTAGACAGAGAAACATTCAAAGAGATGGTACTTTATTTGCCTTCAGTCGTTTAGGCTACATTTGTGTTAAGATTGTCAATTATTTAATTATAAAAATTTATTCAATCAATATAATTTACTATAACTGTAAACTTTAAACACTTAAAAATAAGAACTTATTTTAAATGGTAAATTTCTTTTCATTACAAAAAAATTTATTTTTGTTTTAATCATGTTGGTGTTTTGAAATAATTTGGCAAGAATCTAAAATAAACCTCTCCACATCCAGGAAAAAATCACCAACCTGTTTGAAAACTATGAGAGGGACAGAGAATATTATGTCAAGGAACTGGACTTGTTCTCAGAAATCAGACGTCACCATATTTCACTCTGGCTTTCTGGTAAGACAATTGGTGAATTAGGGTTTGCCATACCCAAGTAATGCTGGAGTTTCCACACAAGATGAATTGATTAGATTGAAATAAACTACATCATCACTGCTGTCAGTAATTACCAGTGCTTCCTATTGCCACTCAACGTTTAGATAGTAGTCAGGCACTTTTATACTCATTGCAATTTCGTAGAGATTTTGTCATGTTCAGAGGTTGTCCAACCTAACAATGACAGTCTGGTAGGTTTAAGAGCTAGTCAGTTGTGGTCCACTGACTATTTTGACTCACTACTTAATCAAGAGACTATTGGTCAGTTCAGCTGTCTACATGTCAGTATCAATTTAAAGCAACCTCTCTGGCATTCAGATTTTTATCTGCCCAGCCCTGTTAACTTGTATTTTCATCCATGACTTACAGGCAGTCATACAGCATGATAGGGCTTTTTTTTTTGGCATATGAAATGGATGAGTTGCCTTTAGGGTTAGATTACTGTATTGTTTAATCCTACGGTCATCATTTGATAATAGTTACATAGTGAATATAGCAACAAACTTGATGTTAATCAACGGTTTTACTATTGACAAGTGCTGTGAAATCATGCCAAGAAATTTTTCAGTTACAAAGCTCTAAAAAGAAATAGCTTAATGAAAATATTGATAAGCATATCAATCCAAATCAATAACCAAACCATACACCAACATTATCATTAGTTCTTACACCAAAATTATCATTAGTTGTTTCCCTTTTTTATATTTATGTCTGATAAGAATTAAAAACACTTTAAAATACTAGAACCCAGGATGGATGCAGAAAGGGAGAAAGGAGAGAATATTCTGGATTATCTGAATTTATCTCAGAGGCAGCGTCACATGGAGGCACAGGTGATACTAATTTCAAACCTTGTTACTTTTATGCAGAAATATTTGCGACTTTTCATTAACTAGGCACAGGATAATAGGTACTGTGTTACATTCAGTTTCTATTATGATCCAAAAGTCATGTGAGTTAAGTTCTTCTATATTAGTAATTCTTTTATGCTCAACATTTATAAAGATTTAAAAATTTTAACTCAATAAAATATGCGTGGAAACAATGTGATGGCTAATACTCTTATTTTTAAATATTCAGATCTTGTAGTCTGTGCTGACTCTTAAATTTAAAAAATTCCATATCTTTTTTTATCTTCAAATTTAGGTCATAAAAAATACCTTACGAATGTATTCCTTCAATGCATCTTTAAATTTCGACCGTGAGGACAACTTGAAAATGATGGAAGAGTTGACCAACCTCCAAAACAAAGTGAACACCTTGTCTGGTGTCAACTCCATCTTGCCCAGAAGTGCTAAAGCTAAAACAGATCTCACCGTTGAGGTCTGATCATTTTATTGTTCAAATTCTATTTTAGTTTAATATGAAATTACTTAGGGCCAATTTCATTTCACATCTTGTAAATATTTTATACTGTCATAGCTTCTCGATTTGATATCAGGGATGAACTATTCCTTTTCTGTCTACTTATAAAGGCTGATTTATTTTGCCACTATTTTGACTATTTGTAGGCCTACATATTAGTAAGTTGTCCGAACTATTTGGGTAAGCAGTTGTGTGCACTCCTATCCCAACCACCTAATCTTGTACATATTAACATAGAAAAAAAAGTGTTGTCTTTTTAGACTGTCCACTTCCTTACCCAAACCATCATATTTATATTGTGGAAAAAAAAACTACATTTTAAATTTTAATTACATTTACCCTTTTTTTTATTCCCAAACTGAGTAGCATATAAGTTTCCGATTAAAATTGTAATATTTTAATTTAAAGGAGAAACCAAGCACAGAAGATGATGAAATGGCACGAGGGGACAATTTAGAAGAGGAAGAAGTCACTGGGAAGGGACTCCACCGCTGCCCTAGAAAAATTAATTTAGCCACTGATCCACTCACAGATCCTAAATTAGTCTCAAAGCTGGAGTCTCTCACAAGGTCTGCGTTTACATTTGCATCTCATTATTTTAACTTGGAAGAAGAAGATCTGAAAGTTACAAAATATTAGACAAGTAAAAAGCGCAAGTTCTTAGGTTAAACTATTATAAAAAATCAGACCAATATTAACTCATAGACCATTTTTAGTGAATTTACATAAGTGCATTGGGGATGACAAGTGATTGATTTTTTACTGCAATCTACTTACTGTAAGAAATGACATAATACATTAGTTTATATTTACACATTATAGCAAAATCTTGTTATGTCTGATTGCTTTGTTATTTTAAACAGATGGGAGGAGGCTGAGGAATGCTTATCCCTATCAATGGAGCAACATGAGAATAGTTATAGTGAACCCCATTCAAATCTTCTGACCTCCAGCAGTTCAACTCTTACAGAGGTCAAGGCCACTCTCTCACTGTGTGGAGATGCTGAAGCCGCCCACAAGAGGCCATCATTTTCTGTAAATACATGAATGTTTAGATTACTAGATTTGAATAAGAAACTAGTTAATGAGCTATTCGGTTTCTAACCCTAACTTAACTCTAAGATTATTTTGATCAAGATAGTAAAGAGATAGAATAGAGAAATAAAAAAGATATTTACCATTGCAGGATGTAACTGATGCCACTGGCCTGACCAAAACCAAATCTGAATGTAAGCAAATGGAGTCTCATCCCAGCCACCATAACTTTTTATCCCACTTTGAGTCATCCACTGTTTTACCTGGAACTGGTAGGTCTACTAAGTTGTAAAACATTTTTATTTTCATATCCCTAAAAGATTTAGCTTGCATGAAATAATTTTTTTATTAACTGAAGCATTACTGATTTTATAATCTAAAAAAATTGTATGAAGAACTGAACACATTCTTTAAAATGAGAATATTTTTAACTAGATTTTTTTCTCCTTATTAGAATGTATATTTATTTTACTTGTCTAGATTGTTAGTGTGGGTTATTTGATTATAGAAAATACTGAAGTCTGTATTGTTTACATCCATTTAGCAGACAGACAGATGCTGGGTTTGGTTAGAAGACGTCACAGCTCTCGACCTGTCGGCAGCTTGACTAATCTCATGGACACAGAGAAAGTTTTGTCCGGCCAAAGAGTCTTAGACACAGACGTGGACTCTCGGGATGCTCGGTCTCAGGGCAGCGAACACATGATCAGACCCACACCCAATGGTAACAAGAGCAGGGAACATGTCCCCAACACTACTGGATGCGACTAAAACTATACTTTAATTTTTTCATTGTTGGGAATGTGAGAGCTTATCTTTATACTTTCTTGGTAAAAAAAAAAAATACATATTTTTTGCTGGTCATTTTTAGCAACAATAACCTAGTTCTCTATTGCCTAAGAATAAATTATTTTGTGTTCTCTCAAAACAGTTATGATTACACTACCTTTGTTTTAGTTTAACACAAATTACAAATCTTTTTCTTCATAATTACTCATCAATTTTGTTTTGTTACAAACAGTTGTATTTTTAAAATGTATCAGACAGTTATAGCCAATTGTATATTCCTAATTGAAGACTATAGTGCTAATTGTAATGTCATATTTCTGTCAAAACCAAACTTTTCAGAGATCACACTTCTCCAGCTTAGCTTTCTATACACTGTGAATACATAATATGCTTTAATATTTACTCAAGTTTCTCTCACAATCTTATAAAATTCAGTAATAAAAAAGTTTTTAAAAATTATATGATTTTTACCTTATGAAAAGTATTTGAGAATGCTGGTCTTCAACTGCTGCCTTAGTTCCAATGTTAGTCAAGTATTCTGGAATATTTAACTGTCTAATGCAGCCATTAAAATTATACTAAATATATTATGGATTTATTTACTTTATTTAAACATCAGGAGCCAAAATATTCTCACAGAAATCCCTGTGATTTATTTAAAGCATAATACTACAGATCTAAATAGATCTATATATTTCAAAAGTAGTATGATAAATTTTTTGTGCAAATAAATTTTGTTCAATGATTATTATTTTTAACATATTTTGATTCTCTTTGATGGAGGTTATTTATAGAAGGTGCCGTTCTATATTCTTTTTTGTAGAATTGGGTTTAATATCTTTAATATATCTATTTTTTTTAAAGCAAATGTGTTTATAGTGTAGCAATAACATCTTTGATTATAACTGTGTAGCCATGATTTTAAAAAAGGTCATATTTCAAAATAGTTGGACAAAACTATTTACAAAAGCACATTAAAAACAAAAAAAACGCTCTAAAAGTTGAAAAAAATACATGAAAATTTAATAAAAATCAATGTTTGTATCAGTTAAAGTTGGCCATTATTTCTGTCCTTTCCTCTTTAAGAAATCTGCGAATCAGCACGTGGCTTGGCTCCATCATACTTCCTACTTGTTTCTCTAATGTAGCCTTAAAATCCTCCTTAACTCCCTTGTTAACTCCCCTGGTCACAGTTCTTTGCCTGTTAAGTGAGGATTTATATTATTTAATGGAGCTATCATACAGGTCAAATAAAATAAAATTACAGCCAATGATATAAGATACATTTTTTATATTAAATTGAAAAAAAGTTCATCTAAACAGGATGAATGTTATATGCAGGAATACAATTCTGCCTTAGTTGTGACAGAAATGAAACCAACTTCTACAAATGTATTACTTATTTCTCCTTTCTATTAGTGCTTAAGTTCACAAGCAGTGCTAAATAATTATTTTTTATAGCTAGGTGAGTTTATATTCAAAGTTATTAACACTAAAATATATTTTAAATTTTTTTTATTTATCACAGACAGACCATAATCCAATGGGTAACCATGTCATCAAGTGATATTTTAAGTTCATAGGGCCAGTAAATGAACTTGTGCTGGTAAAATAGTTAAAAAAATGAATAATCTGGTACAATCTTACTGAGCTATTGCTTTGGTGCTGATTGGCATAATATCCAAGTTAACTTTGCCCCCTTCTACAGTGTCTAGGAAAGCAAATTCCTCCAAAATGTCAACTTCTGATTCAATGGTTAATGAAAACAAATGAGCACAATAAATAATACAGTTACTGAAAAAAATATTTTGTTTTTATCAAGTATTTTGTTATCAAAATATATTTGAAATGACAAATTGTGTAAAACAATAGTATATTTAAATTTATACTATGTAATACTTAAGTGTTTAAACAAAAAATTAAATAACACATATGTGAAGGATACGGTGTACATAAGAGAAAAATGTGTTGTATGTGAAACTGCCCTGCTTTTGTATAGCTGTAATAACTTGACAAAATAAAGACTCCTGCTTTGGCCAATCAAACTGAAGCAATATGATCAGGTGGGCTAAGATGGAATCTGTTCTCTGAGGGCTGTTCATCTTTTCCTGGAAGTACAAATTGCAATGCAGCTAAAAACTTAATGTTTCTAAGAGCACTCATAAAAACAATGTATGGTTCATTTTTAAAAAAAAATTAAACCAGTTATATAAGATAGTTGGAAACAATGCTGATCAAGGAATAGAAAAATTAATAAGTCCTTGGCAAGAGTTGATCAAAGCCGTAACCACATTAGTTATGATCAGCCTTATAGAACTTACATTAACAGTATACCAGCTAATAAAAAAATATCTATTGACACAATAAGATAATCTATTCTAAACTTACCTTAAGCCCAAAAATCAAGAACTGTAGACAGAAAGGTAAGATTTCACCTTCCACACAGTGCAACAACAGAAGACTGCGAACACCAGTATCAGATTTATCTTCTAGACTGTTCTCTGCTGTCCAAAGAGAGGAAATAGGAGAAGAGGCTGGGATTGTATCTATCAGGTCAATCAGAAGTTCACAGGATTTCTGTTAAAATTAAAACCTCAGTATTAGAGTAATTAATATAAATAAAACATGTAAATAAAGGATTTAGCAATCTTGTTTTATTAAAAATAATATATTAATTGGCTAATAAGCTTTAGTCAGGTAAAGGAAATAACAAAATATATAAAATAAATGATAATTCTATTTTTTATATGATTTAAAAATAGAAATTTTTTTTCAGCTTACCGAGTACTGCTTAAGAAAAAAATAACAACAGGCTAGTTGAAGAATGTTTCTCATCTGTCAAGAAAAAAATAATTTAATATATAAACAACTATAAGATACTTCGTTCTAATCAAGATTCTAAAAGAAAATACATTAAAAAATCATCTTGCTATTATTGTTCAAATAGTATTTTTTGTTACTTGATATGATATCATAATGCAAATAAAAAATGCACTTGGTCTGAAAAATGGGTACCTTCATTTTAGCATTAGTTGTTAAGGCCAAAGTCTGTAATTGAGTAACTGCTTCTTCATAATTGCCCTATATGTAAAAACAAAAAATGTAGTAAAATCGTAGTGGCTAAATGTTTTAAAACACAAGTTAATAGAAGCATTTTAAAAATGTGACCTATATGTTAGATTTTTATTTTATTTAAAAAACATAATTACTCTCATTATAAACAAGATCAATAAATTATTTTTATAAATTAAATTATGTAAGTAGTGCTTAAAATTGAAAAAAATATGATTAGCTGCTTCTGATGAATTAAATTTTTAGTAAACAAAAACACAAAATTTACCGTATAAATGGCTAAATCTGCTTGAAAGTACGCAAGCATTGTTTGAGTTTCTTTTCTCCAGTTTTGGCAAAGATTGTAGAATTCTGAAATATTTTATTTTCATATTACAATTTCACACATTTTCATTGCAAAATGTAAGAAAGAAAATTAAAAATGTATTTTACCAAATTTCATGTCTTCTGTTGAATTGAGAATTTCATAACATTTGCAGGCAGTTTCAAAAGCTTGAAGTATGGCTGCTGATCCTGGTATGTTAGGTGAGGCATGTATATTTGGAAGTGAAGGATCCAGTTTTGGCTTTTTGGCTTTACAGCTTTAGAAAGAAAGTTTAAAAGATATAAAATAATATAATAATTAATATTAACTGTTGCATTCAAAATTTGTTGAGAAAATTTTTTTTCCTTTATAACAGCTTGCTATTTAATACACTTTTAGATGACTGATTTTTATAGCTGCAATATGAATAGAGAGTATAAAAACCATACAAAAATGTCCCGAGTTGTTGAAAATCAAACATTATGTAAACTTACGGGGTGGTAGACAGAACTTTGGTGTTTGTCACATTCTCAACTAATATCACTGGTATAAGATGGGTAGACACAACTGAGGAAAAAAAATATCTTTGAAAAAGTGACAGATGGAGCATTAAATAAGTCACGGCGTAGCCCATATTGTGATGTATATGTTTTAAAATAGAATCTAACTTTATAAATTTGAATTTGTATTGTAAAATTTGAACTTTTTCATGCCATATATTGTATTTTTACATAATTAAAATAGAAACCTGGAAAATTTTAATGTAATATGGTAAAGAAAATTTTTAAAAAAATACATGTTTTATATTTCTTTTTTTATTATACTTATTTATTTTGTTTATAATTAAAATTGTATATAAAAAATTCGAAGTGATTACTCGGAAGAAGATTTTTCTCCCCAACGTCTCCACTTAGTCGGCAAAAGATAGCTCTGCGCATGCGCAGTGACCTATGGCTTGGGTTAGGGCTAGAATGAGCGTTAGGGGTAGGATTAGGGTTAGGGATAGGGTAAAGGATAGGATTAGGGCTAGGGATAGGATTAGGGCTAGGGTTTGGGTTAGGATTAGGGATATGATTAGGGTTGGTGTTAGGGTTCTGCGGTTGTAAACACACGCATGCGCACTACCATTGAAAACATCGTCGCGAAGGCAAGTCGTAGTTTCTCTCCATTGCGCATGCGTATCGCATGCGTATCTTATTCCGGCTAGCATCGGCCTAATTAGCAGTATGAAACAAATCCTTACCTGCTGATTCAGCATCTACATAGCTGACATAGCTGACCATTGAGTGAACAAACAAGACCATAGCAGAGTGAAGAATTTGTTTATTGTTAGCCTCAGTACCATGAAGTTTTACTCTCAACAGCTGATGTTGTAGGGACTGAATTTGATACTCTCTAGAAAAATATGGAATCAGCCATTGTATATATATGGACAATAATTGCACAAACAAAGTTGGTAATAAACTTTAGCATATTCCTTTATGCTTGTAACTTTAAACCTTAAAAATAGTTCAATTCTAAAAGGTTTTAAATTAAAAAAATTATTAATTAAATAAAACTGAGCATTTTACAAAAATAAAACAGCAGCTAAAATAATTCAGAGCATTAAATTTTTTTTATTTATTATTGAAAACTAATGTCAAAGACATTTTAAAAATCTTACTTAGTTTTATTTACAAGATCACTTTCCATATCCCATTTTAACCTCTGACCTATCAACAGAAGTAGCTTTAAAAGATTTCCCCATGGGTCTGCGACTTGCATTTCTGAATCAGGTAGTCCACTTGAACGACCTTTACTATTCTCTAGAAAATTTAAAAACAAAAGTAATAAACAGTAAGTTGCATATTCTTAAGTAGTATATTCAAACTAGTGTTTCAAAAGTTTTCAAATTACCTTTATCCTTAAGTTATTTTATCTTTGTGTTATTGTAAAAAAAAAATCTATTTTTATCAATGAAAGATTTACATGTGTTGCTATAAAAAAACAAAAAACTCTGTACTTATATCAACTAACTAATCATGTGTTGATATGTTTGACTACAAATCAATTTTGTACCTGCATCAACTGATAAATCATGAGTGTGTGACTGTGAAACATAACTAACATAAAACTCTGTAGCTCTCTGCAGCCAGAGATACAACTGAAACATGTTGACCTCTAAATGACCCCCTTTTTGAAGCACTAGAGGCATCACATCACAAACTAAAATAAAACAGAAAAACAAGAGCAAATATTAATACTTTAAAATACGTGCAAAATATTTATACTTTGACATCCAATAGTCAAACTTTTCATAATAGCTTAACATATTTTACATAAGATTTATTTCTACTAGCTCAATTGGAAGGCACATTTTCATCAATACCATTTATCCTTGACAAGAACCTTAAGCCATAGATTCCATACTTTTTGAACTACATGCTTTATAATCAACATTATCTACAACTAGTCTAGAGAAAAATTCTTAAAAAAAAAAAAAATAAGTAACATACCCAGTAATTTTCTATAGCAATTCACTGGATTGTTGACAATATTTGAATTTATCTCCTCTTTCACCAACATCTCCACTAATTTGAGCTACAGGATAAAAATTCAAAGCCATAATGAAATAATATGATACTTCTTTTAATTTTATTAAAAATACTTAATATACTATAGTAAATTTAAAAAAAACTTGGCAAAAAATGTTTTTGACAGCTTTGTATCTAAGTAATCCCACTAAACAATTACTCAGCAATAGATGTATCCTCTTTAAAACAATTGCATAGGGGATTGACTTACACCATGTTCTTTCACAAGATTAGGAAACTTTTTCATCGCCAACAGTAACAGCTGACATCTCTCTAGCACATCAGAAATACTCTCTGACACACGTAGCAGCATCACACATTGTGTAGATGTTGGAATAGCAGCAAACAGATCTACAAAATAAAGTTAAATACATCAAATGTGATTTAGTAATTAGCAGTAAAAATTTCCTTATTTATTAGCCAACATAATTGAAGCTAATTTTCTAAAATATTTTGCCAGCAATACAGAGCTATCATAAAAACATTTTTACAGTAACTAAAGCAGTTTTGTTCAATAGAGGGAATAATTTTAAAATTGTATAACCTACTCATTAAAATTTAAATAGAATTCATTTTTAAAGAATCACTTGACAAATTTTAATTTATTAATATATTTCATCTTTACACTTTGCCGTTTATCAATGTTATCAGAATACTAGTGTTATATTAGAATTTAATATGCTCAGAGCAAATAAGAAAATTCCACTCATTATATTTCTTTCTACACTTTGTTCTCAGATATAGATCTAGTTGTGTCATAATTATTAACTTTTGAGCAGACATTTATAACTTAATTTTTTTAACATTTTAGACCTAACCAAAAACACTAAATGTTTTATAATAACCTATAAGAAAAGCAACTTTTTGGTCTTGTGATTCTTTCTGCAAAGATTCTAGAATACTGTGAACTTCGGACCATAATCTTGGTTCGTTAGGAAAACTTTGCAGCCTAAATAAAATAATTGAAAAAAATTAACTTAAACAATTTGTAAGTAATATTGTCATTCTATAAATATACCCTCTAAGAAAGAGCCAGAGTTTCTTTACTGCAGCGTAAAGTAAAGTAAGTTAATAGGTCACTATTGAAAGAATAATAACTGGCTAAATAACATGTGGTCTCTAATTAAGAAAACATACATATCTTGAAGGTATCTAGCAGCTTCATCCACGTTTTTAGCTGTTTTTTCAACTAGATATGATTCAAACTGAAAAAAAAAAGCATATTTTGTCATCTAGCTTATTAAAAAAAGGACAGCTAAATATTTAAATAATATTTAGTATTATTTAGCTGTCCTTTTTAAAAACAAATTTTTTTTTAATTTAGAATAATTTAGATAATGTGTGATCTAGGTACTAGGATAAATTTTTAAAACTGGTTTTTTAGGGAAACAACTACTACAGTTAAAAGGAGCAGAAAATTACAATAACAGAACAGTTTTCCTTTTTGATGTAGCTCAAACGGTTAAATAGTTATGATTTTTTTTCGTATTAAAAAATGTGATTTTTTTAACATAGGATTTTTTCAATTTCTGTGATAGAGTTTTTTAAAGCGTTTACTAAAATTGTCCTAGCTTGTAAACCATATGGTCAAATTTGTTATAACTTTGCAATATCTTTATTTATTATATATGGAAGCATAATAAACAATAAAATTAGAAATTTATGGGCAGAGTAAAACAAAAACAGAAGTAGAACAGGGTACCCCCCCCCTAATTTTTCATATACAGTGCATTCATACAATCTCAGTTAAAATTTTAACTATTCAGAAAATTAAGCTCAAACTTGCTGAGAATGATGAGCTATGGATGTGTCAGTTATTACAATCAAATTAATATTCATAACTGAAAAGATTTTTGTTTTAACTGCTACAAAGCTGATAAATTATACAATTTCGCAAAACCGAAGTCTTGTTGATGTGACATGCAACATAATGGCAAATTTGAGTTATTAAGCACTTAAGTCTCAAAATTTGTCTAGCTCAAGATAACTCTATTCTTAAACAGAAGTAATCAAAATATGTGTTTAAATCTATCTGTTTAACAAAAAATAAGGGGTGGAACAGGGTACACCCCCTATTTTTAAATACTAAATTTGATCATACAATATCAGCTTATGTCCAAACTATTTGAATCTAAAGCTAAAAACTAACCAGAGTGAAGCTCTGAAATAAGTGTGTTTGATGGTTCTATCTAAATAGTTGACAAATAGGTAAAATATGGTAAAAAGGTAAAACGCTGAGTCATCGACGCACCTGACATCATTGAAAAAGTAAACTAATATATGTAAAAAAAAATGATGGCAAATTAGATCTATTAGAAATGTAAGGTCTTTTATTTGTATAAATGTAATTAACTTGTAAGTCTACTTATAAATATAGTTTAATTAAAAAAGATGTGTTCTGTCTATTCATCAGTATTTTACATTTCAGAAGAAGTTCAACATTGGACTAGTTGGTTTTAAAAAGATATAGAACTAGTTCATATCACTAAACTTTCAATGTACTGCTTCAAAATTTATTTAAGTTATTTAAAAAAATATTTATTTATCTAAATAAAAGATGAACACATTTATTGTAATAGTTTTAATTCCTCTTTACAGTGTTCCCTCATTAGGCCATATAACTGCTCATCATATCGTAGAGATGTGCTGGTTTTTTGAAGTGTAGGTTCTATCTGGAAAAGTAAACAGTACATTATTTGCTTTCACATAAAAATAAATAAAATGGTTTTTCTGAAGACACTAAATATTGAATGTTTATTGCTAATACCGCACCAGACCTTCCCCCCCCCCCCTCTACTCCACTACCTTCAATATCAAAACAGCGTTTGCCACTATCGCCGGCGGCAAAACATCGTTCGCCACTATCGCCGGCGGCAAAACATCGTTCGCCACAATTGCCGGCGGCAAAACATCGTTCGCCACTATCGCCGGCGGAAAAAACATCGTTCGCCACTATTGCCGGCGGCAAAACATGGTTCGCCACTATCGCCGGCTTCAAAACATGGTTCGCCACTATCGCCGGCTTCAAAACATGGTTCGCCACAATTGCCGGCGGCAAAACATCGTTCGCCACTATCGCCGGCGGCAAAACATCGTTCGCCACTATTGCCGGCGGCAAAACATCGTTCGCCACTATCGCCGGCGGAAAAACATGGTTCGCCACTATCGCCGGCGTCAAAACATCGCTCGCCGCTATTTTTTTCTATTACCTCCCTTGCCACTTTCGCTTTCGTATTGTAAACAAACGTATTTTCTATAGAGGTAACAAAACTGCGCAGCATATAACTTTTGTGCGCTATGTCCAAACAACTTGATTTTTTGAAACAATAGAGAAAAGTGGTGTAGAATTCAAATAATGCAATAAATTTTCCCCTTTTTATAAAAATAAACAGTAGGGAGTAAATTAAACTTACCAAATTTTCACTGAAATACTCCATATTGAACAATCCATGAACAAAATTAAAAAAACAACAAAAACGCAAAATGTCCATTTTTTTACGAAAAATCGATAATCGCACGAAAATTGATCGGGCGATAACACCGAGCGATAAAAATTACGAAACTATAGCACTCGCGTAGCCGCAAATTCTTGGCGTCTGGGTAACGGGGACGAAAAACTCGCCGCGCGGGTTAAAACGAGATGTTGATCTATCTAGAATTTAGAATCTAAACATAGATTTAGACATTTCTTTAAGAACTAATAACAAATCACTTAAAAATTTTAAGGCAAGCCGTGTTCAAGGCAAGGAAGTCATTTTACGTGACTTTACTAGAATCTAGACTCTAGATCTAGACTTTAGTCAAGTGAGTTTAACTGAGATTCTGAGAATGGAGAGGTGGAGAATCACCACTAGATCTAGATCTAGTAGCTATCCTTTTTTCTTTCCGCGGTATCACTTGGATCTACCTGTATGACAAAGGATTGGGGAAACAATGATTTGGCAGTGATCAGCCATGATTTCGCTGAATATGGATCAGTTTTAGGAAAACTGCGAGCTCTCATTACAAGCCAATCTACATCTGATAATTCTTGTTCTGCTACAGCACTAGCCATTTTGCTCTTTATCTCCCGAAGTTTATAAAAATAGCAGTTTTTAACTGCTAGGAATCTGTTTTTAAAAAAGCGAACAGTCGCAATGTTTTGAGAGTTAATTTCTAAAAATAGACTTATTGCTAGAATCTAGATTTTTAACATAGCATTAATGATTAATGGCATTATTAACCGCGTCCTTGCCTAAAATTTAATTATTAAATCTATAAAAAGGGTCATCAGTTTATGACTAAACATCAACTTAACGACATTTATGGACTGTTTTAAAATAACGATCGTACTGTCAACCCACTTGTTTCTATCGTAAGCTGAATTGTATTAATAAGTTGTATGTTGGGGTAGGGGAGTTCATTTTATAGTAATAGCAATTATGGTAATAATTTCAACGATAGAAAAGGCGTGATGCTACAAAATGTATTAAATCAGAGGCGTAGCGACCCTTCCCGGCGCCCGGGGACAAACTTTCGATTTGCACCCAACTCAAACTTTCAATTTGGCGCCCCCTCCCCTAAGGTCGGCGCCCAGTGACATATGTCCCCCCCACCCCCCCCCCACCCCCCTCGCTACGCCTCTGTATTAAACAATATTAACACTACAACTATTTAAAAAATAACGAGGATGTGGGGGGGGGGGGGGGGAATACGGTGTTATTGTTAAACACTAAGTTTCATAATTCTCAGGATCTATAAAACAAAATGAGAAAACCCCGATAAAACAGACTATAAACTTCTTTACAGTACACCAAAATTCAATGCAAGATTTCCTGGCGACATAAGCTAAAAAGTCTTAACCTCTACAAATTTGAACAACTAATCTAAATATAGGAACATATATGTAATCTTATACGCATGTTCAAATGCATAAACTACTGGCTAAAACTCTAAACTTTGGGAACACCGAATCTAAAATGCATGTTTGGACACAATGACCAATCTAAATCTCTAAATTAGGGGGCGATTTTTTTAACAAAACAGCAGGTGTTGAGTAAAATGAATCTCTGAGTAACAGTGGCGTAGCGAGGTCGGGTGTCACCCGGTGCGGCACTTAGTGGTGTCACCCCCCCCTGAGGCGTTGCGACCCTTCCCGGGGACAAACTTTCAAGTTTTCGCTTTGCACCCCCCCCCCCCTCAAACTTTCGATTTGCACCCCCCCCTCAAACTTTTGATTTGCACCCCTCCCCCTCAAGTATTTCTCTATATATTTTGCTATTTTTTGCCTTGGTGTCACCCCCCTAAATGGTGTCACCCGGTGCGGTCCGCACCCCCGCCCCCCTTGCTACGCCTCTGCCCGGATATATTATTTAACTCTAATAAGCAGATCTACTTTATTTCAGTTTTCTAATTCCATACGAAAAAAAAACCCAGCTAATATGTCTAGCGCTATTGATCAATACAAACCCCGAGTTTTCAATACCATTTCGATATATTTACGCAAATAGGCCTTTAAAGATTAGCATGCCTTTCATGTAAGCTCAAATTTCTGCTGTGTTGTATATGATAATAGAACAGATATGTTAATGTGTGGAACAGGTTTATGTGAGCCATCCCGTGCACACATGTCCAGTATGTCCACACACAAAACGTCGATCTGCTTGCATTCTGCTTTAGGTCATAATGTCCTTTTAGTCAGTGTTTCTTTAAGGCATCTCGTCGGGCTTATTTTTTAAAAGCATAATTTTTGTGTGTTGGAAATACACTATTACGGTATACGATTTCCAAGGTTGATTTTATGCACTGATGAGGAAAAAAGTAATGCAAATGGTTTAATTGATGAGCAATAAAAAAAACACTCAGTCAACGACTGGGCTTAGGGGTCGTCCATAAATGACGTCACACTCGTAGTGGGGAGGAGGGTCCGTAATTTTGTGACGGTGTGTGATGAGGGGGAAGGGGGTGGGTTCAGATGGTGTGACGTCACTTTTTTGCATTATAAAAAAGCTATGTTAGCAAACAAGTTTTAGTCGTTATTGTGCGTTTTAAAAAACGGTTTTAATAAATAGGAATAGAAATTGATCAAAATACTCTGTTGACTGAGTTCTGACAAGATTTTGGAAAAATATCGATGTTATAAGAAAAATTCAACAGCAATTTCGACAGGGGGGGGGGGTTGTAGGCTAATGTTTGACGTCATTTTAGGGGGGGGGGGGGGTGTCTGGCTTTTTTGTGACGACGTGTGACAGAGGATACGGGGAGGGGGGGGGGTAAAAATCGTCAAAAAAAGCGTGACGTCATTTATGGATGACCCCTTATGTTGAAAATATATAACTCAGTATAGATAGCGTCTTGTTTGTAGTCTAATTTATGTGGCAGTTGAACTCGAAATATGAATGCCACCATTAGTATATTGTCACAATTTGGACAAAATGTTAGTGACGTCAGTACAGTCAGAATCGTCGCGCTAGCTCAAAACTAGGCCCGTTACACGCCATTCGTTTACAACACTCTGCAAGCGTTTTCATGGTCCAGAGTGGCGCATAAAAACTGTTTGCAAACATTGGTAACAATACAGAGTACATCTAGAACGGATTTATTAATGTGGCAGCCAATTTTTCTCAGATGTCGTTCTATCAATTAAACATATTGATCATAAATATTCACAAAAACCTAATCTTCCCATGAAATGGCCAAAATTATAAATATTTTGCAGTAACTTAGCCAACCTAATAACCACAACATGAAATGACGCGCATGTGACGTAAGGCGGGAATCTGGTTACACATCAACCAGCTGTGAGCGGTAGATTCCCTTCACAGATCAGCTTATGTCCGGGATGTGAAACAAGCTTCATTTTTTGCTGTACCGCTTCATATTACCACGAGCTAGGTCGACTTGCCCTCACTAGTTGATATGAATCACTTATTTACTTGATCTGTATGAAGTCTGATTCCTAGCCCAACGCATACGTTCATATACACACGGGTCTTTAAAGATTGTATTCGATGTTATTCTTTATATTATACTTCACTTACACACTTCTTGTGTAGTCTAGTCTAGGGCCAGGGGCATAGCGAGGGGGGGGGGGGGGCGGGGGGTGCGGACCGCACCGGGTGACACCATTTAGGGGGGTGACACCAAGGCAAAAAATAGCAAAATATATAGAGAAAAACTTGAGGGGGGGTGCAAATCGAAAACTTGAAAGTTTGTCGCAACGCCTATGGGGGGGGGGGACACCATTAAGTGCCGCACCGGGTGACACCCGACCTCGCTACGCCACTGTCTAGGGCCAACAATTTTGTTCCGCTTTACACCGTACACTCATGTTAACTGAACAATTCAAAATATGTTATTCACTTTTTGGTCACAATTGTTAGTGACAGTCAGCTATTGGTTACCAAAAAAAAGTTGATTTAATCTTCAGATATTGGTGTTGCAATATCGGTTTATCTACATTTTGTTTATTCGTATTTTATTAGATGCATGTAAACAGCTTATGGTGTATTAAGACAGCCATGTGTGTGTGTATGGGGGGGGGGGCAGAGACAGGATGCACAAATATGATAATCTGACCCCCCTCCCCCCATGTAATTTAACAGGACACTTTATTTCTTGCTGGTATTTGTGTCAATGTATTCAATCTTTTGCAAATGTAATATGTTTTTAAAGACCAATTTACAAATCAACAACAATGAAAGCGATTTAAAAGCGGCATGCCTTTGACGTAGGCCAGTCACATTGTGGGAGATTTCAACACAAATGTCGTATTAAATATTGAGTAATCGCCCCTTCCTCCTTTCTCGTGTATAATTGAGGGCCGTGGCGTAACCAGAAAATGGTCATGGGAGGGGTTCAAAAATGTTTCCATATATATGTATAAAATCATATATATATATATATATATATATATATATATATATATATATATATATATATATATATATATATATATATATATATATATATACATATATATATATATATATATATATATATATACATACATATATATATATATATATATATATATATATATATATATATATATATATATATATATATATATATAAACGGTTATCTAATTTTAATGTTGACTTAGTAATCGCTCCAGCGCATTACAGGGCGTTTGAAAACACATGCAATTTTGGTTTTTAATATGGCGTGTAAGTCTCGTTTTCTCTGACTTTGAATTAGAAATCTGTTCTGGTGTATAGAGTTTTGTAATGACGGGGTGTTCAAAGTATTGTACTTGTTGGTAAGTTTTGATGAATCGTTTAGATTTGGGAGTAACGGCGGGAAGCTGTTGCTGATTTGGTTTCGTAGGTATAAAATATCGAAGTGTCGTATTTTTTATTTGGCTGTTGTGTAGTTGTAGGAATCTGATTGGTAATAGAGAAATGAGAATGTAGATGATGAGGTATCGTAGTTCTGGAGCATCGAGTCTAGTTTTGTTTAGGCATCGATGTTTGATATCTGTTGTGAACGTAGTAGATTATATAGAGTAGTCGAGTTTATCGTAAGTTAGATGATTTCAATTCAGGACTGAACACACTACATAGAAAGGTAGGCTATTAGGCGTTTTCTAACTGAAAAATCTTTATTTTTTTTTAGGAATCTATATTAACACTCTTAAAGTATTAATATATAACGAGCCGACCCGCTGCATATCATACGCCGCTATTTAGTTGTTTTTTTCTACTTTTCAGTAATTTATAATTTGTGAATTCGACAGTACCAATGCTGCCACTGAAAATATTTGCTTAAAAACACTAACCCCCCCCCCCCCCCCACGTGAAAGCAGCCTCCTCTTAGTTACCTCCTCTAAGTTTAAAATCGTTTCAAACTAAATTATCTGCCCCTAATAGCCGTCACCAAACCCGTCTCTATGATTGTAAAATGTAAATAGCGTGAACCACAGCTCACCAGACCATGTGAGGGGGTGGGGGTGGGGGGTGGTGGTAGCGATAGAGAGGAAGAGAGGGGACTGTAAGGCGCGCTTGCAGCTTGTTTTCTAACGGCTCCCAGAAGAGAATTATATATATAGATATTATATAGGTTGGAATTTATAACTAACCGTAAA